GTGAACATCAATGTGGAGATTTCGTGGCAGGCACAGCACTTTGTGAATCTCCATGTGCAGATTTCGTGGCAGGGAGCAATTTGTGAGCTGGAAGCTGAGAACTGGCGACATTGTAGTACAACTTTAGTACGCGGAGTATCTGGCAAGCTGGACGATGAGAACTGGCGACTTTGTAGTACAACTTCAGTACGCGGAGCAATCTGTGCAGCTAGAAGCTGAGAACTGGCGACTTCGTAGTACAACTTTAGTACACGGAGTATCTGGCGAGCTGGACGAGGAGAACTGGCGACTTTGTAGTACAACTTTAGTGCGCGGAGTTTCTGTGGAGCTGGAAGCTGACAACTGGCGACTTTCTAGTACACTGTTGTGAGCTGCTGATCCTGCAGGGGGCACACACACCTTACACACGTGGAATCCCGTGGGTCAAAAGTCCGGAGCGCGTGCGTTTGACTGGAGGACGCGCATGTTGGAGAGAACGTGGACACTCCTATAGGTCAATTTCTTCTTATAGGAAACTTGCGCCGCCGGCTTGCCCGGGAACTACTTGTATATATTATCTAATGAAGTTTGCTGGATGAGGGCAAGTTGATGTGATTCAGTGGCATCGTAGTTGCTGGGACTCGAGAAGTGTGTTGGAGATTGCTGGAGTATGTTTTAGTGGCAATGTAGTGCCACACCCTTCCAGGAGCCTCCATCAATAGATGTTAAGCATAGTTTCACCCACCAGATTAGCCTATTTTTGACATCAATGTAATGTACACTAAAGATACTAAAACCATTAAACATCCGAACCTTCTCCAAAGTGGATCCTCCATCTCCATTTCGATTGAACTGCTTCACCTTCAGATCTGCCAGAATTCCACTTCCAAGGGCCCCAATCCTAAGGGACCTTTACTGCCAGCCGGTTGATGGAGCCGACGAGGCTCCATGCGGCTTTTTGCGCGGCGCTGCGGCTTCAGCTTGAGCGACCACGGCATTTGCGAGGCCACCCACGCGCGCGCACGCGGGCGAGGACCCCGGCTCTGGACGGGGCCGCCTATCGCTCAGCATCGCTTTCAGACGGAGAAGGAGTCGGTGCGGGCGACGGGGACGAGCAGGTTCTTGCGTTTTGTGAGATCGACGTTGAAGGTTTTAGAGCAGGTCAGTATATAAGATGCTGTACATAAGCATTTGTATGGCATTGCTTGTTTTTGCCTTTTGATATTTTTTGAGACTTTTTGAGATAATTGTTGGATGGTTGAAAGCAAGCCAATTTCAGGATATCGACCCTTTCAGCGACTGGGTGGTCCTCAAACATGCCCCCTCCTCACAACACCCGGCTCCAAAGATTTGATAATTATTTGGAGGATGCATCCTGAAATCCACTCATCGAATACTTGAGCCATGGCTTTTCTTTCATGGCTCACAGATTGCCTGGAGAAGCGTTGCGTGTTGTTTTGATACCCTGGCAGGGTCTTTCTTGGACACTCGCCTGGGCGACCCGGCTACCCAGGAAACGTGGAGAACCTGTAAAACCAAACCTTGATGTCCACGAAAAATCCAACAGTTTAATTTGTTTCAGGGTTTCCCTGAGGGGTCAGGATGTCGAATTCTCGACCCTTACTGAGCATGATCCTCAAACCGATGCATGCAGTCTTCCTCCCAGACGGGTTTGGACGATCACAATTTGGGAGGAAAAAAAACACGTAAGGTCACTGGGTGCCAGTCAATAGTTGTTGGTTTGGCAGACAAGTTGAGGGGGTCGACGCATGCAGCTTCAATAGTCCTCCTCCACAGGAGGCATGGCTATTCGCCACCCTTCGCCGGATTCTGTGCATGAGTGCCCCCAAGGAAGTTTCAACCCAGCACTTGCAGGCTTGGATGTCTATGGAAAAAGACACATTAATTTAATGAGTGTGTATACTCTAATAGTGTGACCCCCGACCAATGGGTAGGCTGGTCTATTTTCCTTCTTCCAGGGGGTCGGAAGGCCTGGGAGGTCTCCCTACACACATGAGTGAGTTTGGGGGTGCCTACACAGATGTCATCAGCTGTTCATTCTCAGCAGATCTTTGCAGTCTCACTTTGAGTTGCGTCTCACCAGTGACTGTTCCTGTCGACTTCTTCCAGGACATCTTCGACTTTTTGGGGCTCAGCTACCGAGAGCCCTGGCAGCGGGAAGTGGATGCTTCCTGGTTACAAGAGACGGCCACGGCCGCGGAGGAGGCCAGTGCCAGCACCGCCACCCGGCGCAAAGATGTCGTTTCCCCACGTTTTGGCCTACAGTCTACAGCCATGGTCCTGATATGATGGATGTAGGTGAGAAGTTCTCCAAGTTACAAAGCTGGCTTTCCGGTTTGATTTTGAGAGTCTACCTTGCCCGAAAGTGTAGTTTCACGCTAGTATAATGACATTTACGTCTCACTCGTACGACTTTGGCTCAAGGAAAACAAGGTGCGACTAGGTGGCGCTTCTAGGTCGTTTTCCTGTAACTACAGGTTATCAGCCGTATCGCCATAAGTGCGGTACGTGCTTGGTACTAGCCCTGGTCTCACCCACCCTAGATAGTGCACTGTCTAGAGGCCATGGCTGATGACGAAAGTTCCCGTGGTGACCGCTCGCGCTACGTTCCCACTTCGCCTGCGATGTCGAGCTCAGCTGCAATGGAGCTCCCTGTTGTTCCGCTGGAGTTGCGTGCGCCAAATGTGCCACCGATGCTCAGTGCACAGGGGGGACCTGTTGCCTAGTGTTCAAACCCCGTCGCCGTTTCAGCCTGAGTTTTCTCCTGTGATGAATGTCCAGAACCTTGATGCGAGACAGATTCATCAACAAGCCGTCTTCGTCAATGAGGATAGGTCAGCTCAGGTAGCTCAGATTGCGGAATTGCGACATCAGGCCATTCTGGCTGAGCATGGGCAACAAGCAGCAGATGATGCTAGGCAATTTAGAGACTTAGTGGAGAACCAAGCTAGAGTGGCTATCCAGGAGTCTAGGGAACAAATTGAGGCTTTAGCCAATCAGCGTTTGAGTGACATGAACCAAGCCCATCAAAACCAACACCTCAATGAACAGAGGGCTTATTTAGATCGAATTTCGCTCGAACGACACTCCGTCGTCGAGAACGAACGCGCCTCTGCTAAGCAAAGAGAGGATGCTCTTCGGTCGGAGTTAGCCGAACAGAGTCGAATCATCAAGGAGTTGAGAGAGAGACAACGCCTCGGGGAACCGAGTGCCTGCGCCCACAGTGCAGCCACCTGGATCCCATGGATCCCCAGCTTTGCCTCCAGCGAGCCTTCGCACTCAGTTGGAGAAGCCCGGGAACGGAGGCGGTGACGAACTTCACCAATCCAATGCTGATGACGAAGGAGATGATAAGTCCAAGAAAGACAAGAAGAAGAAAGGAAAGGAGAGGAAGAAAGAGAAAAGCCCAAAGAGAGGCCGATCAAGAGAGCGCAGGAAAAGACGTTCTCCTTCTCCGTCTCCATCATCTCCAAGTTCATCAAATGGAAACGATAGCTCCAACGACTCAAGCTCTGAATCTTCGCGTCTTGCACGCATCATCCGCAAGGAGCTGAAGAAGCAGCAGAAAAAGTCTAAAGACAAAGATCGTGAGAGCAAAGCCAAAGAGGCTGACAAGGTTCTCATTCCCAAGTTTCCCACGCCTGAGAAGTACAGAGATTGGAAGATCAAGGTGAGGGATAACATTGCTGCAGCTTCAGCCAAGCCAGATGAAGCACGGATATGGGTTGGGAAAGTGTATAAAGAATCCCAAACCATCGACGCCTTGGATGATTCAGAGGGTTTTGCAACCCTTGACGCAAAGCTTCTAGCAAGCTTGACTAATTGCGCTGAGGGGGACCTTGGTCGTCAAATCGCTACCTTCAAGGAGCTTCGCGCTCGTGAAGACAAGAATGCCCTGAGAATCCTTGATTGAAAAAATTCAATTAAAACATCAATATCAATATAGAAGAAAAAAATCAATATAGCCATATTGAAGTCCGAGTCTAAATCAATAAAA